ACTGCAGAAGCCCTACATATATGGGTGAATCCCAACAGTTTGAACAGACGTGAAGGTGTGATCTTAGCTGATGCATGGCGAATCCTGACTAATAAATAAATTGGATATGTATCAACAACTAGTCACACTTGGTCAAATTCCCGATTGTCTACGTCTTCTTATGGAGAGAATAACAAATTTATAAAATTATATTATATTTGTAAAAAAATCTCAATTATTTTGCAACTATCCGGTCAAATCTTGATCACAGTTCATATGAATCAGTACAATTAGTTAGTGATAGTGTAACGGTAGAAGACGATAGACTTGGCATAGGAAAACTTATCTGGATTGCGGTATCACCAAATAGCAAAACTATATACACCTTATCTTCAATGCGCCATTTGCATAGATCTTCCATGTGTTGTGCTACTTCTGCCGCTCCTTCATATTGTGTGTGTTCCTTTCACGTCTCCCATGTTTTTCCGCAACGCTGTATCATTTGCCTTCTCTGACATCAAATCTATCTCCCTACTATTTGATGTTTTTATACTGATGAACATCTTTTTTATATGCATTATATATACTACTGATAAATCTTATCAGTAGCACACGCCACAATACCTCATACCTCTTTTCGATTGAAGTATACACTTCAGTAGCCCGTTTGCCTGGTGTGTGTGTTTTTTTATCTTGAGTATTAGTCAACCACTCTCTCAGACGGAGGGAGACCTAACTGAACTATCCGTGTTTTTTTACTGAAACCACAGGGTTTTTACTTCGATGATGCATATATCGAAGTGCAGAGTAGATTTCATTTCGACTGAGACGAACAGCCTATTATCATCAGCACCTATTTATGAAAATTATTATAATTCAATATTATCATGTCTCAGTGTACTATTACATCGAAACTTTCTACTCTGGTGAACAGTAGACCGGTGACTGTAGACCTGTGGTGGCCGGAAAATATCAAATTATACTTTCACCGTAAAATAGTATAAATAAGGAATTCACAGAGAATCATGGTTGTTACGTGAGATTGAACAAGGACACTACTTAGTTCCACACGCAATACGGACGACACATTCTTCCCTCTCCAGCTTCTCACTTTCCACATCTGCCAACCAACTCTGCCTCGTATCTGATCAGCACATCCCCATTAGGATCTTTTGCTCCAATCTACTTTTCTCTCCACAAGTGTCCTCCGACCGTTAGCATCTCTATATACCTAAGAAATGAAATATTTCATCCCTATCATTCTGTACTTCAGTATTTGAGTATTTTGGGACAATTATAACTTTTTAAATAACTTCTTTTTATGCGTATATTAATTTATGTGGACTGAATACCCTTCTACATACATACATGTTTGTATTTGTCCTTTTTATTTCGCGTATAAACGAACTTAACCGTTTAGTCCACTACAGACCGTAGTACCAAATTCATTTACCCCCTTGATAGATAATTTTAAACACTTCATTTCTTTTAGTAACTTTTCCTTGTGAATAGTACTCAGTTCACATCGTACAATCGCCTCATCCGACCAACATTCTCTCAGATTAGAACACTTTCAGAATTTTATGACATTCTCAGATGAAAATAAAAGCAAACAGTCAGGAGAAGAGTCTCTCTTTTCAATTACTTAACTGTACAGTCACAATTATCTATAATTAATTTGGTTCATGGGTGTGTTTACATTAGGTTCGTCGAACAAGAATACAAATTTGTTAGGGTATTATGGTGTGACCGAGTATAAATATGCTCTAATGAGATATGGTGGACGATAACGTACAGACTGGTATTGCTGAGTAGTTAATTTGTCCTGACGCGAAGAGGAAAATCAGAAGACTCCCACGTTCACGAATGGATACGTGTACTTCCAACAAGGAAAATTAACTGTCACACAAGAGTGTGAGTGGAAAAGTACCCAAGTACGAAAGAGTGTGAAAGTGTGTATCAAATGTACAATACAAAAGTATGTATGAAAATGACTAACATACATGAACCACTAAGATAGACAGTAGTTTTTCTTACCACCATTGGATTCTGATTGGTTGTAATGTCATGTGACAAAGGTCATACATACATTGTTATTTAGTTAATAGACAGACAGAACATATTGTTAGTTATAATGGAATAACGATCAATATACACATAGTAAAATATACCAGACTGTCCAAACAAAGCAGACATCATGTGACTACATATCAATATCTCGCTCGATAGGATCTAGAGTATTAGTAGATGTATGGTGTATGCTACTGATAAGATTTATCAGTAGTATATAAAGAGGCGTTCATCAGGACACAAAAATATCAAATAGCGTAGAGATAGATTTGATGTCAGAGAAAGTGAATGATACAGCGTTGCGGAGAATCATGGGAGACGTGAAAGGAACACAAAGAAACAAACACAATATGAAGGGGTCGGAAGTAGCACAGAGCGGAAAATCTGTGCAAACTGTGTATATAACTTCGCTATATGGAGATACCGAATTGCCAATGGACATTCGTTTACAAAGTCTGTGGTCTTCCACTACGACATATTCACATAGAAGTGGCCAAATATGGTAGTTTATCTTTAGAGTTGTTAATGAACATTGGGTGGCAAGAGAATACCAGTCGTAATGTAGCAGCGAAGAATATTCTTTTGAGGGCGTCTGATATACTCTTCTTTAGGGTATTGATCAAATAGTCTCCTCTGAACGCCATATTCATGTGTAGCAACTTCTTCTACACAGACATGAAATCGATTTCAACGTACCATTTTCCAAACCTGACATGAAAATATCTGCAAGTAACAAACCTACTAGTGATTCCGAAGCTACACCATCTTGCTATCTTTTAGAAATATCACTGGACGTGAATCGAATGTCCGGAGCACATTTAAGTAGGAATTGTCTTCTGGTTATCCACATAAGAAGTAAATCATCTTCATAATAATCTGAACATTTGTGAAGACTGATTTGACATCTAATGATTTCGTGGACGTGTCGCCTACTTTCATTTTTTTTAAACAATCGACGAATTCAAAAATGTTACGAAAAGAGTACCCTGGTGACAACAACCAACGTCCTTTCCTCGTATCCGTTCATGAATGTCTACTTGAAGGCATCAACAATTGCTCCAGACTATCTTTTTGATCTGATCTGATATGGGAGCGAGTCAGTAAGCAAGGCAGTATGCCAATGAAAGTGTAACGACAGATGTTAAGAGACTTAGTAACAGATATCTGCTGAAGAAAAACACATCATTAGTTTGAGGTTTTCATCCTGAGCTGACATCAATTAGGGAACCATTGGGAAACCATCTGGGAGTACTAGACAACTGTTTCATCCTAGTTTGGGACTCTTCATCGGCTTACACTCACCACGGGGGTTCGAGCCCAGGACCTCCTGACAAGCAAGTCATAGATCATTAAGCCACTGGGACCAGAACCAGTGTCATTCGACGGTCTCTTCAGTGTGTGTCCACTCCATCTCCATTTTCTATATATTTGATGATTAATAGGTTCTCGTCTTTTGGTTCGTCTCCAGCTTTCCTTGTTGCTAATTCTATCTGGCCAGCTGGCCATCTGGTCTCCAGTATGGAGCCAGAGAAGTCTGGCTGTTGGATACTACTAGTCCATGTTTGTTTTCAGATTATTTTTTCCATTTCTTGATAACTAGTTTATATCGGACTGGAATACTCAGTCTTTGATGATGTGTCGACTGCGAGTTTGGACGTCACAGTGATATCTGAAGATCAAAGTGAAGTAATTTTCCTTCGTAGTGAATAGCTGTAGAATCCAGGATGACAATATAGTCTTATTTAGGACTCGTCAGTCATCTTGTTATACCTACATTCCCAGTGAGTGAAGATGATGATGATCTCACTGGGGTTCGAACCTAGCCAGTCAGGACTTGTCATTTCAAACATCAAAGTTGTATCCACTAGGTCTAATCTACAGTTGGACAATTTAATCGTTATTTACCGCAATACTACTAGCGCTGATCTCAGTAGCTTAAGTTTACCTAACGAGAAAAGAAGCAGAAAAAATCATTAGAAAAAGTGTTTTTATTATTACTTTTTTGGATTACATGAATTTGTTCAACAAATATCATGTAGGTTAGGGGTAGATGTGGGTGAGGTGGATAACCACATTTTTTAAACTTTAGTAACTTTATAACTTTTGCTGTAAAAGTTACTTCGCAACTGGAAACCAGTGAAATACTTACTGCTTGTTATACACTGTGTACATGCCTGCATGCACAAAAGCATACGAATGTTTATATTTGTATACGTATTTATGAATAGCTTCAATGTTTCAATAGTTTATATGCATTTTTCACAAGGTATACCGGTTAACATTTCGAAGTATGAAAAAATATAGACACTGAGATTGAGAGTAAAAGATTTAATAATTTTTTTTACAAAATATTGTTTTGTCCCCTTCTTCTTATTCTTCTTCTTCTTCTTCTCCAGTTTGTTTTCGCATTATTTTCCTTATCGTTCAATATATTCACCGCCTTGTTGTTTTAATTTCGTCTAAATATAAAATGGCGGTTCATTGGAATGAAACTCCATTGTGTAGAAATATCCATGTATGAAAAGTGTTCTTTTAATAATTTCCCGTGGCAATTGTTCGTATAGCATTTTTATCTTGAAATGTTTCCCCAAAATATGGTTGATAGGGTTGAAATAAAATTCTACGCTTTTTATGTGACAATATCGATGGTGTTGATGATGATGATTTCAAATCATGGATAGTTGTCATTGTATTACGCATTCTGAAATAATGAATTTTTTTCAACAGATGCCTAGTACTTTTCACTTTAATATTTTTTTGTTTCCATTTTGTATGATTTCTATCTACTGATGATTTTGGAGGTAATTTTGAACCTGGTGATGACGGTGATGATGATGATGATGACGGCGATGATGACGATGATGAGAATGAGGATGAGAACGAGGACGATGAAGAGGAAGCTGAGGATGAAGTGGATGACTTTTTTGGTGACTCTGTGGTTGATGGTGATGTTATTTTGTTATTTTTGTTGCAGTTGCTGATTGTTTAAATGGCCGTGAACAATAGTCTGCTAAATATATCTCATCTAAAGCACTTCCCTTTCTATCAGTGAAAAATGAACTGCCCCGTTGTTTTGGAGATCCACTTAGTCGATTGACTTTGCGTGATTTGCGTAATTCATTTGTAAACACAGAATAATCAACACTGATAAATGAAAATAAATAAATAAATAAACAAATGAACCGGTAAATAAACACATAAGTAAATTTTAAAAAGAATGTTTGCATTGCAAAATATATGAACTCAAGGGAAAGGTATGAGAAGCTCTTAAAGATTTTGCTGCCAATGTCAACAACATAAGATAAGCAGGGTAGACTGTGCACATCTACTTAGATTCTATTTTTGTTTAGCGTATATTGTTATACAAGGTGCTCCAGCGACTGATATAGCCCTAGAACAACCCAATGAGAGACGCTGCTGCTCACATCCCAGAATAATCTATGAGCATCCTCGCGCCATCGAACTTAGATCGTGAACATCCAACCAGGGATTCTCGCACATTGGAGACAGCCTATTCTGCTTCATGGAAACGCGATACCGACCTCCAATCCACCCCTCACTGCATCAAACACTACTTCTGACTGGCCGTCATGCCGAATGCCCTTCCAGTGCTCCATGATAGGGTTATCAAGCCATCCACGGCTATCCGGCGACCGTCAGTCACAAGTTAACCGGTCTCAGCCGTCTCGGCCAAAGTTCTGATGATCTCAGTCCTCTAAGGCCTATTCATTCGAGCTGATTTGCCAGACGCAAATTTCGTTCATGCTTGAAGCAGATCTTAGCTCGGACCCAACTTTCCTGCTGCCCTGGTCAGTGGTTATCACGTGGAGGAATCTGCCATGCGTAGCTCATCTCTTGATTTCGGTCGTCAGAAGCCACTGCCATCAAAAGACTTTGACCCAAAGATAGTGTGACTAGTCTCTCACTACTCTGCTAATCATAAATGTTTTTCGTGTGCTTGAGGGGTTCGTTCTGTTGCATAACATTCCACTTAATTTTTATTTTCAATGACTGAGTAGAACTCACTATTATGTTTCCAAATCTACTAAATTAAATTATTTTATTTATTTTATAATTTTACTTTATTATTCACCCCCACTTTCCTGAACTCTCCATCATATTATGTATAAATTAACTCTGTTGTTCTATCTTGTATTTCGTCTCTAATCCATCCTTGTTCCCAAGAGACATCTGAACTCTCCCCCCTTATCTGATTGCTATATAAATAGTTACTCTCTTTTAACACTAAATAATTGTCTACTTACATCATCTTTGAAATTATCTTGCCTACACTACTTTCTATCTATAACTTGAAATCATTGTAAGGCGTATATGTTCAGACACTATTTTGTCAGTTATAATTGATTTTGTTTAAGATGTACGCAGCAGTTGAGGAGAATCAATCCACGAAATAAAACGAGCTGGTATTACCAAAACTGCAAATATGTTGGTTCTTTCTTTACGCAAACGAATATATATAGGACCGGTTCTACGAAATTACACAAATGTGTAACAGGTCAAAATGCCACATTATTGGAGAAGTATGCAAAAGGGTAGGAAAAGAAGTGTGGTGGAACCAAACTACACGAAGAAGTGTTGCAGGGAAGATGTCAAAGGTTAACTACATCTGGAATAGTGTGAACGATTACCAAGTATCGCCAGTTATGTATTCTTAGTATCTTGACTGCTGCAGTCAGACAATCTCTACCGAAATGACACCATGGTTTTGTCTGATCACCCCTAACAATTTTCCATAGATTAATATTAGCTACTTGCCAAACACCCTGTCGCGAACCTCAAAAGCCGGTAATCTCTTCAGTATATTTCACCTATAATATCCATATCTCACAGTCATAAAGTAGGATAGAGGGAACAGTTGACGCGTTATTTCATGGATAACCGGATATCACTCTTGCAGTATTATCTTACATTTGACTGGGGTGACTTGCTTGGTGTTCCGAAGATTCTATATTTTGTTAGCATTCGCGACTAAAATTATAGTATCATCTGCGTACTCTGACATAACCAAACTCAATCGGTATAATCAGTCAATACGTAGAACACAGAAGTCAACCAGTTCGCCGAACCTATTTGAATGATTTCAAGCGAAGCTTCATCCCGGACTGGGAAGCTGTTACATCCTAGTTTGGCACTGTCCAGCAGTTCGTACCCTTGACCTCGTTATGGATCGAACGTATGGCCTTCAGCTGACGAGGCCAAGTTCGTTGACCATTCAACCACTTGGACAGGATCCAGCCCATAGGTCATGAATTCTAACTTCTGATATTTCGGGATATATATAACGCCACAGCCAACCAATGTTATCTGCAAATATTTGTCTCCAAATCCAGCTTGATGGAGCCCATTGTTCGCAACTTCTGTCTAGAACTCTACGCGACTCCTCCCTGCAGTCAGTCATTAGTGAACATAAGATTAGTTTTCAGGTGGTGAATGACCCCGGAATTTGCTTTACACTCACTCTGTTTCATGTCAGTTCGTGATTTAAATAAACTTCACGTGTCTGTTCATTTAGGGTGAAAGGAATCAACTGACAAAAAGACATGGATTTAAGTTCCGTATATTTTTTTATTGTATGTCGTTAGTAAGACACTTCGAAGTGACATGAGCAGAAATCTCAAGGAAGAGATAAACAAACCGGGGGAATTTATTATTGTCAGTATTGAGCGTTCTTGTAAATCCTCCCTTGTAAGTTGCTTACATTATAAGTTTCTAGATAGTAGATGTTACTAATTTCCTGGAATAATTTGGCGCCGAGTCAGACTCAGTCATGATTATTTATTATTATTCTCTTGGATTCCGAGTGGAACATACGGCTTCAACAACAGACCTTCACTTTCTTCTATTTTCTGCTATCCTCTTCAGCTGGCTGGATCCACAATTCCCCATAATCTCTCATCTAATCCTCCCACCTCCATGTCACCCTCACACCAAACACCTACTCGTCGCTTCCGATTGAGATTCTACTCGACTGACAGCTTGCATTGCACGCGATGTCTTTCGACGGCCTCCTGAACGTATGCCCAACCGACCACTCTCAATTTTCACCAACATATTTGTTGAACAATCGGCTCTCATCTGTTGGTTTGTTCGACTGTGGAATTTCTTATTGCTAATTCTTTCTGGATGGTCAGCCGGCCAGACGGCCATTTGATCTTCAATATGGAGCCAGCCAGAAAAGTGAGCAGCTGTTGATAAGAGTCTAAAGTGATTTATTGGAAATCCTTTTCGTGACACGCCGACCAAGTTTCTGACTAGTACTGAATAACTGACTGACTGACTTCACTGACATTTGTGTTGAAAATCTGAATCTTGTTCTTCATGCAGTTGAGTCAGTGCAGAAGATTTGCAAACTGGTTTCACGTTGATGAAGGCGTATCTCGCCTTTCCGATTCTAGCCGGCTGGTGTTGACATCTTCATCTGTTCCAACTATCTGTAGTTGAAACGATTCTTCCTGGATAAATACCCTCTGACAAATCTCTCCTGTTGATGGTGATTGGTGCTGGTTGTTGTTGTTTTTGCGGTTCGTTGGTTATCCTCATCACCTCCGTCTTCTCTATGTTCACCTGGAGTCCTGTTTTCGCTGGTTGCTTCTTCAGGCAATTTGTTGGTTTTCGCCTGCCTGTAAGTCTTCGAGTTTGTGTGACATTAGATGGCATAAATCATCCACGGGCGAAATCCAGATCTTCCGGAGTGTTCTTATCGGTGGTCCAGCGTATTCCTTTCAATCATTATGAATTATTTAAAATAATCCCAGTGTGTTTAAGAAAAAATTAAAACAAGATTTTTCTCAACGTTTCGTTATGTTAGTGACAGATTCTTCATCAGAATTACTCAGGCTTTTTTAACCGTCAATATATATAGTCAGGAAAATCACATAAATTGAATTGAGTTCCTCTGAAGGTCACCTGCCAGTAGACATTTGTACCAATAGAAAAATGTTAACAGTCATCACATATTTGTAATGACTAATGTCAAATTGTCAGATATGCGTATTTGTCTGTGTGAGTGTGTGTTTGCTGTTTGCCGTCAAAACATGATAACGTTTCACAGTGGTTATAATATGGGATTAAATCTGTATTTCTCCCTTATCTATTTTGCTTCATTAGCGAGGGTCTGCTATATAGGTGGTGATAAGTCTATCCCTTCTCTCCTATTTACTGCATTCGATGTGGTTAAAAAGTGCAAGGCTTCAGAGTTCAGCCTTTCTTTATGTGGTGAATGAAAGCCTCTTCCTAGAATTTTGACAATGTCGAAATCAGTCTTATATCCGCTGATCTTTTTGCTTCTAGAATTTTTAATTCTACTTCATTTCCAAGTGGACGTTTCGTGCACAGTCTATATTCAATCACTTTGACCTTCACCTGTCTAATGCTGTCCCCTATACATCGAGATTCACATTCTGAAAACACTTTATCCTATAGATACAGTTGCTGTGTGTCATTTCGGAAACCACATTTTTGACATTCGCTAAAGCTTTCTCTAGAGCACTAGACAGCATAAAATAGGCTTAAATATTACATGAAACAAATAGTCTTTGAAGTTGTTCAGCTGTCTCCTTTTGGTACAGACGTCTACCGACAAGTGACCTTCAGTTTATTACATTTTTGACTATATATTTTGATGGTTATTACAAATCCGAATAATTCTGGTGCTGAAGAAGCTGTAGCTTACATAGCGAAATGTTGAGAAAAATCTTGTCTTGATTTTTTTCCTAAACAAGAGTTAGGATTATTTTAAATAATGTATTAATCGCTTACACTATGTTGAAGATCTGAGGGGAAAATCATGCTGCTGGCAAATAGAAATTTAACAGAACACAGATATTTCCCTTGTAAGATAAACGAGCCGGTTATACTGTTTCTTCGTCACTCTGGAGAATATTGGCAGTGAAAAATGTGTCTACTGCAAACTTTGTATATCCTGACTCACTCTGAGGTAGTCTGTGGTAGCTGATGGTAAGATTTTCATACATACACGAGTTCAAAACAGGTTGTATTTGTGTGTGTGTATGTGACCGACCACAAGCACTTGTCTCTTAAGCTTTACGGTCAAACAACACTAATGCTGTTTCTGTCTCACGTAATTCACTTCAGTTTCAATATGAGCAGTTAGCTGGCTTATGCAGTTATTGTCATTTTCATGTTAAATGACTGGACGTGAGAATTCGCCACAGTTCACTTTTTGAAAATTCGAAAGTATGTAGATCACACTGTGTGATCCTTTCTTGATACCATAAACTAAACTGTATGATAGTGTATCCTATTGATTCATATCGATGATTGGTATGATAATATTAGATGGTTGGTGGCAATCGTCAGGAAGCTCCGCCTTGGATCTAGGTCTCGTGCTAGTTGGCACTCACCAGTCAGTCAGCAAGGCGTATCTGCAACCTTGAAGGAACAACTCATGTCCCTTCTGAGATTCGAATCCGCGTCACCTAGTGCTGCCTGCAGTCAGAGACGTTACCACCACTGAGCTATTCGGGCTCACGATTGATCTCCTTCCTGTAGGACTGTATCCAACACAGCTCAGTGGTAACGTCTGTGACTGCAGGCAGCACTAGATGACGCGGGTTCGAATCTCAGAAGAAGGGACATGAGTTGTTCCTTCAAGGTTGCAGATACGCCTTGCTAACTGACTGGTGAGTGCCAACTAGCACGAAACCTAGGTCCAAGGCGGGCCTTCCTGCCAATTGCCTCCAACCATCTAATATCATCAAATCAATGTGCACCGTGATGGCGAGCTACCTTGTAGAATGGTCGCCACATTGCAAATCTGACTGATGGAATTCAGTCTGCATCAAAGTAAGGACTAGACAAATCACACTAGTTACTAGTGTCCAATCAAAGTATAGGCGATTGGAAATCATACACACAACCATAAAAAGTGCTTACTAACCAGGCAGAAGCGAATAATGCATTAAACCGTTGGTTTATTTGTTAGTTTACGTCTCAGTCAAACTCAGAACATCTCTGGTGAGCGTGACTCTAGATGAACGTAAAGGTTGTCTGGTAGTCTGACCACATAGATTAGGGGCAACAAACACTGGAGGTTTGTGTATGTGGTTTCAACTATTCACTTCACTCAAATATATATATATATATATATAGACAGATAGAGGGGACCACTGGTCTGCTGACCTGTTTTTCACAAGTTTCTGTCAGCACACTTGAGACTAGACAACGATTTGCTGATAAAGCCAAAAATTGCACCAGTGACGCCATCGAGAATCGAATCAGATATGATAAGGTTCAAGACGAGGCAAGCTATCCAGTAACTGAGACACTTTCTGCGGCGACTGAATTCAGTCTCAATAGCTGAATGTTTAACTGTCTTGCCAAAGGTTATCTCTACATCTGTAATTATGTGGGCAGTTACCAAGTATTGCCAACCACGGATTCTTAGTATCTTGACTGCTTCAGCAAGGCAGTCTATTCCCTTTACGGATTAACATTGTGATTTTATCTGATCATGCCTAACTATTTTCTATTATTATATTATTATCATATTATTGTTATTATTATTATTGTCTCCTTTAGTTCCTAGAGGAACATATGGCTTTAGCCTCATGTCTCCACTGCGTTCGGTTCTCCGCCAACGTTTTCACCTGGCTCCACGTTTGTCCACATGCTTTCATCTCCTTTCCGTATGACCTCCTCGTTTTCATCCTCGGACGATCAAACCAAAACAGGTTAAGATAGATTTCATCATTTCCGAGTTGAGAGTGTAATCCAATGATTATATACAACAATTATATATGCATCCACTCAATGTGATTAACAGTCACAAATTGACAAACAGTTAGTGCTGCAGGTAGAAATAGTCAACAAGATTATATCCACAGGATCAGTGTTCGAAAGTAAACTAATTACAAAAAATTCTACCTAGTTCCTGGCCAGAAACACTAGAGTAATGAGAGTTTTATGTAACTGAGCAAATATAACACCCAAAAATCGAAAAGCGCGTCAACGTCCACTATTTTCTGTAGACTAACTTTACTTCCTTGCTAAACACCTTGCGTCAAATCTCAGTATTGGTGAAGGGAGGCATCTATGCCTGAAAAAACCAACAGATCTCTTCAACACGTATTCCACAGCTTTAATACGCTCATGACTCAGTATGTTATAAAGTAAGACGGGAAGAAAAGTTGATTGACATGTTCTTTTTTATAGATGACTGGATATCACTCACATGCAACATTATCTTACATTTGACTAGGGTGAAGTGCATAGTAAATCGAGTCAAACAGAATCGAATTGAGTACGGTGCTAAAAGGCGGAGGGGGGTGAGAAGGTTATCCGATGTATTGGTAACGTCAATCTGGCCAGAAAACATCAGTCAGCATCACTGATTTCTTGACTTATTAGTTATTTGTTGGCAGTTATACTTCAGACTAGATGGCTATAGCTATTAGAGTAAAGAAACTGTCTTCCCCTAAAGTCATAAATCCCCCCCCATTATCCCACATGGGATCAAAACAAAGACTTTAAGGTTATGAAACGGTCCCTATGACTACACAGCCACTGAAACTTCCATTCTATCCAAATGGCTGAATGGCCAACGGCCTAACCTAGTAGCTTGAAGCTCCTGAGTTCTATTCTCCGCAGAATCATTGGTAAGTAACGCCAATATGTCCCAAGCTAAGATAAAACAGTCCTCTCTGATGGTTTTCAGTGTTCATAATGAAATTTAAGTTAGAAATAATCAGATCCTCGTATTATTGCTTTTGTTGGAGGATTGGTGTCCATTGGCAGCCAGTTCTCTGAGTGCTGTTGGTGTTGGTGCATTTCTGGGCGAGTTGCAGGTGATGGGCGATTCAGGAGTCCTTCTAAGTGATCAATCCGTTGTTTTATCTGTTTCTCCTCCTTGGTTATTGGGTTCCCCTGAACACCTTCTATTGGTTTCATCATCTGGGTTGATCTCTTCCTAGATAGAGACTTGGTTATCTGATATAGTGTCCTGATGTCTCTTTTGCCTGCGGCCTGTACTGCTTCAGTTGCCAGTGTGTCGTAGAATTGTCGTTTGTCTTTTCTAGCACTCTTCTTCACTTCTTTATTGAGTGCATTGTACATCGAATTCAGCTTCTCCTTCTGTTGCCCATCTTTGCATTGAGTAGTCATCTTTTCTTCCACCATCCCTCTATCCTCTCTTCTATTAGCTTCCAGGTAGGTGTCCGTTGAGAGCCATTCCTTGTCGTGTCTCTTCCTTCTTCCTAGAAAAGTTGTACACGTTTCCTTGAATATCACCTTCAGAGAGTTAGTTCCAATGTTCTTCCACACAGGTTTCCTCACTGGTACTACGTAGTATCTCTGACTTTGCTCTGATCTTATTTGTAGTGAAGGCATCTCTTGTAGTTTTGTCCTTCATTTTCTGAATGTTAAACTGAATAACACTGGCGGGTCTCCAGTTGTTCTGAAGGATTCCAGATTCACTTTGAAGGTCCCTTGAACTAGATGATGGTCTAAGCCCACATCCCCTCCTCTTCTCTACTTTGTGTCCAGCAGGCCAGCTGTGTTTCCACTTCCTTGAACAGTATTAAGATGAAATCTATCTGGTTTGTGGTATGCCCATAGGGCGAAATCCATGTTGCTTTGTGTATATCCTTATGCTTGTACGCGCTCCCTCCGATTAACGAATCATTGAAGGCGCAAAAGTCTGTGAATAATTCTCCGTTCTCATTTATTTCTCTGAGCCATAGGCTCTGTTACCAGTTCAGCTGGCATTCATATCGCCTATAAGGATTTCGATGTCTCTGTTTTGGGTATCCTGTCGATGACTGTTGACAGATGTTTATAAGAAATCTTCCTTCTTCTCTTGTTCTGAATTTGTTGCCTATAGGCGCGAATGAACCACAAACAAAGGACCAGACAGCAAATAAACAAACAAACAAATATCGATCAAAACAACACAACTTACATTGATGTAATACTTGGTGCATGTATCTCCTTTTCAAAATCTATCATAGTCGGTGCCAAGAACATCGATTTATTCCTCCGACTTACACGTACTGATCGTTGAGTCAGCTTTGAATACGGATCGAGTAAAGTTTGGCGAAATCTTTCTAAATTTGTTTTATTCATAAATAATGATTGAATTTTAAACAGGCCAATATAATTCCAAAAATACAAATCACAAACATCCAGTATCACTTGTAGTATAGCTGATTCTACAGACTGATGATAATAAGCAGATTTACCAACGTTGGAAATTTTGTCGAACAAATCAATTTCAGTAGTCAGAGAAGAAGTAGTAGTAGTATGTTGATAACTACTCATATTACTACTATTACTCAGAAGATAATCGTCCATGAAATTACCACGTACAAAATCTGGTTTATGCGAAAAACTAATCAATAGCGGTCCATAAATATTACATAATATAATTTTCCCTTGTATTTGATTTTGAGCATATTCACAAGCGTGCAGAATATGCGTCATTAAAAAGGCTAAAGTGTCTACTTGTGTTCGTGTACTACACAATGATGATTTACGTATAATAAGGCGTAATTGTTTATTCGGTCTTGAGAATTGATCATACAATGGTTGTTTCACTAAATCTTTAACAATATGATCTGTCAAGTGCAATGGTTTAATACGAAATTCTCTTAAAAATGCACGTAATGTTGCAATCATTACTGGTGTAGGCAAATGTTGTATGGCTTCTTTCAGCTTACGTTTACTATTTCCAATCTGTATCAACTTGACAACATATTCTTTTGCTTTAGAATCATGTTCATGCAATGCTTGAAACATATACTTCCAACTTTCTTTATAACAATTTAATTCAATTAAATTTACTAGGCAAAAAATTAAATCTGGTACAAATGGAGCATTCAGTGGACGATAATCAGCAAGATCTAATGGCAGGGGGAAGATACACGGATGTCGATATTGATGATAGTAGGCTTTAGTATCCTCTTTATCATAAGCTTTTGTATCCCACTGGCATGTGATACGTGTACTTAGTGTTTTTTTTCTTCTATATTGTTCATCTGTTGAATCACTGTGACTATCATCCGCCAACACCATCAACTCCTCTCCCTCTTCCTCCTCGTAAGCGCCATCACCATCATCATCACTACTTGTTTTGAGTCTGCTACCTAAACGACGAAATAACTTTCTTTTATGCAATGTCTTTTCAAAATAATCCCCATCAAATGTATGCGAGGTTAAATGGAGCACAGTGCGTAGAATTGAATGACGTTCATAATTATGAATGACACTTTTTTCCATTGACTGCATTGTTGATTGATCTGGTAGCGTATCAACTATTTGTAGACTAATACGTTTCTCTTTTTTACTCTTTACTCTTTCTTTAGTAAAAATTTTTAAATGTTTCTTTATATTCATTTCATTGTGTAATTTCAGGGCATTGATTTCATAACTTGTCTTACCTATCAGTCGACGTAGTTTATTCAATTTCTCTGGATCTAAATCCATACTGGACTTGTTTTATATATGTGTACTAATATAAATAAATATAAGTTGTAGAATAAAGAATAATAATTATTATTATTACAGAGTATAACTGTCTTTATCACTTCTCCGTAAATATGCTTAATATTTATTGATTATTACCAGTGATTTGAAGAATTTAAATAATTCATTGTGATGAATTAATTGATTTTTTATCACAAACACGCACACCACACACACACACTCAAATATACACTTATTTACATAATAAATTGAGGATTATTAAAACATTGATTGACGGTCAAGGTAAAGAGAGTGTCTGAACTAACATCTTCTTATGGACACATACATACGTGAGTTAGGTCTCTTAATGTACATTCCAACAGCCAGTCTCAACAATATGTAGTAGACAAACTCTTGAGGTAAAGTTGAGATTGTAACGACAGAAGACAAGGGTCAGGTAAAAGATCGTTTATTGAGAAAATCAAGAGATATTTATAGATTTTTACGTACATTATTATTAGCGTTATTGTTAGCAGAGAAGCAATGTCTTCTGATTGGTTGTTTTCTTGCTCAAGGTTATTCTGTACTGCCTGTGACCGTTTCTTAGAAAGTTAAGCCATGTATCTGCGAATCGTATTTGCACAAGTTAAGTCTTCTGTGATTGGTTGGTGAGTTGGTCTTTGTTCTTAGTTTTTCTCATGACCAAGATTTGGGACGTAAACATTGACGTCAATTGCTGTCTATCAATTTCGGCTAGCAGACAGCTCTCACCACAAGATTAGTTGGTATGCGGTAGATGACTTCGAAAGCCTCGATTAACATCAGTTTTGTATTCTGTATCCATGAGATGAGATAGAATAGCACTGCGTGAATAGATCTTGTTTTTGTCGCTGATAGAATTCCGCATAAAATTATGCGATCAGTCATTTCTCATGGCTGTGAGTCAACCCTATTGTGGTAAGAATGTATGAGTCACATGTGTCGATTTCCTAACAAATGTACAGTACAGTATCTTGTAGTAACAGGCCAGTTTTTGACTTTTGATATTTGCGTGGCTCAGTGAATCGGAAGGTACAGTGGACAAATAGGCATGTTAGCGTACGATTCGAGTTCATCCCCGTTATAACAATTAGCTGTTTAGATATAATAGTCGCTTACTTAACCATGCAGGATAGTGTTCGGAAATCCGACGATAAACACGCCTAACTGTACGGCCTATATAAGTTGCTGGCTCCACATGAACAGTCAAAATGATAGATACCCATGGAAGAGGAGAAATTCAGCAGTGTATCTTCAACTTCCGAAAGCAAAATAAGGGTTTGTTTTGAAGAGACAGTACACTCCAGAAGCATTGAATGCTCTTTTTACCTCATTCTTTAGGCGTTGTGTTAATATCTCACTGATGTTATCTCCGAGGAACTCAAGTTGTAAGAATAAGGCCCTTTTTCATAACTGTTGGTACTTTTGCCTGCCTTGACTATTGATTCATATTCTTATCGATGAATATGAACCAAAAGTAACTGGCGCCAGAGGATCCAGTTACATAGGCCGTACAATTACACGTGTTTATCATCGGATTTCTGAACACCATCCTGAGGGGTTAAGTAAACGACAAATAAAATCCATTCATAGTTCCAATCTATCTCATCTCGTGGATACAGAACACAAAGTTGATGTCAAGGAGGCTTTCATAGTCATCTATCGCATACCAACTAATCTTAACTTCACCTCAAGAGTTCGTCTACTACATATTGCTGAATCTGGCTGTTGGGATCCACATTAAGAAGCCTAACTTATGTATGTGTCCAAAAGAAGATTTTGGTTCAGACGATTTCGTTACCTTGGCCAACATGGTTTTAATGATCCTTAATTTGATGTGGAAATTTCTTTAATTTTATTTGATATTCTATTTACTAATACAGTTTTACACACACTTATTTTGTTTGATTCAGTCAACTACTTAAAATAGTAGTATAAGAGTATAAGCTTAAAATTTTGTAAGTTGAAATGTCAATAAACGAAAACAGAACACGTAGTTCAGCGAAGAGGTTCATTTAGGGCGAATTTACTTTCATCGGTATCTACAGACAAAAGGATGGTAATGCAATAGAATTCTTCCTCGGGTTCATTACTGGTAGACAGTTTCATGCCTAGCCTGGAGAACGGCCTATTAAAGTCGACCCATTGCCAATTTACAACTGTACACCGAGGTATGTAGACGACATTTTCATCATTTGCGATAATAGTGATCACCACAATCATTTGTTACATATATTTAACAACTGCTATCAGGTAACAAAATTCCCTTTCTTCATGTGGGACTAAGGAAAAACTACCTGACGGGACCTTGAGAAGGTCAATCCATAGGAAACTCATTTGTAACCGTCAGTTTTTACAGTTGGGTGTCCGTTGAGCAGGAACGAAATTCAGTTAAATCCCTTGCCACTTTGATCCAAAGCATCTGTAGTCCTGACACTCTAGAACCAGAACTAGATCTTCTGCAAGAAATCTTCATGTATGATGGATACCCACCAAGATTCATCGACAAGAATATCAGACCAAAAGTCCAGAGGAACGAAACATTACTTGTTCCAAGGAAAGAAACTTCGCATGAGCCTGGAATTCGAGGGATACTTGAACTGAGATACTCTCAAGAGGGGGGATTTCAGCATATGTTAAAGGAACATTCTTGAAGAAACGATAAAAGAAATGTTCTCCAGTCGTCCAATATTCTTCAGAAGCCCAAAGGACATGATGACGTGACCAATGTTATGTGAATATATCAATTCACCTGTTGCTATAGAACCACGCATATTGGTCGTTTGACACATATTCTGTCTGCAAGGGTTCAAGAACACTATCCCACCACATGGTTGCAGAAAAGTGGTAGTGATTACACAAACATCCTGTCAACATTAGTCAGCCTACCTCAACAAACTCCTTCAAAGTCATCCACAAAATGAAGAGTAACCTGTCACAGACAAAACGTTTATGTCTCCCTTGGATTGTAGAAGCCTCAGTCATCCAGCTGGAAAAACCAATTCTGCTATCATGTTAACAACCTTGTTGATTTATAATGACCAGATCTGCTTGGTTTGCTTGTTTTTCTAACACCTTATAATTCGTGTGCTCCTTTGGAACTCTCGCATAATTCCATGTTTTCCCTCGTTTCAGTGTACATTCTAATTGGTTACAACTCATTAATTAGATTCTCCATCTCATTACGTAACTCTGTAATGCATTTATTCAACTCCTGTTATGCATTGACTAATATTTTAACGACAGAAGACAAAAGTCAGATAGTTTATTGAAGAAATCAACAGATATTTATAGATTTTTACGTACATTATTATGAGCGTTATTGTGAGCAGAGAAGCAATGTCTTCTGATTGGTTGTTTTCCTGCTGAAGGTTAATCTGTCATCTCTTTGTGGCCATTTCTTTAAAAGTTAAGCCATATATCTGTGAATCGTATCCGCCCACGCTAAGTCTGCTGTGATTGGTTGTTGAGTTCCTCAAGGTTAGGCTTTGTTCGATTTGGAACGCAAACATTGAAGTAAATTGTTGTCTACAATTTTGTCTTGCAGACAGTTCTCACCACAATATTAATAACCATGACTGTGACAACTCCTCACTTTTGTTATTATCCCCTTTCATGAAAAGTTGGATATAAATGCGATTGTACAGCTAAGAAGGAGAATGAATTCGTCGCCGAAACGAGTCTCTTTGCTGAACTACCTGTTCTGTTTTTATGAATGCCTAGACGGGAAGTATTCAAACGTTGAAGACGTATGTAAACTACAGCTGAATCTCATAATGCATTTGAAGTGAAGATGGGAGTGAGATAAGATTGTCAGCTTGCTATGACCGATGAAATTCCTGGTTGCAATGATGAATGGGATCAAGTGGAAGATTGGACATGGGGAGCAAGAAGAAAGATATATGCTGAAGAGACAAAAAATACTCTCGAAGTTATGGACTTCGTAGATGATTTATGTCGTCTGATGACATATAAAAACTTGCAGGTCTGCAGGTGGAAACCAACAAGTCGACGGTGGATACAGGCAGTGAAGACAAGACTTCAAGAGACATAGGCAAGATTAACGACATGAAGATACCTAACTAAAGACGACGACAACAACAAGAAGTACCAATCACTATCAACTGGAGAAATTTGAAGTCATTCGCCCAGACAACATCATCTCAGTAACAATCAGTATTGGGTGAGTATGTAAAAACCAGTATGGGGAAATTCCATCACAGAATAAATTTATTTTTTATAAATTCCCACAATGAATGGCAACATTTCGGGCACAATTTATTGCTGCTCATTGTCATCATATCGAGGTATACTTACACAACTTGTCAACTTCATTTATATACATGACAAACAGAAGGTGTAACAATGAGGCCACCATTATCCCTGGTTGTAAGAGATATCTTCAGGGAGAGTTAGGAAAATATAGCTCTTAATACATTCAATCCTACTCGAAATATATATTGTGGAGATATGTGGATGACACTTTAGCAGTGTTAAAAACAGAACATACCTCTAGCATCTTGACACATATAAACTCACTAGTAGAGGGAATAAAATTCACATTTGAATCGGAAAATGGAAAAGGAGAATTAGCCATATTAGGCGGTAAAATAAAATGAAAAAAGAAGCTAAACTTCACACTGGCGTTTATAAAAAGCTAACTCAATCTAATAAATATGTAAACTTTAATTCATCTCATCCGTTATCTGTCTAACAAACCGAGCAATACCACTAAGTAGTACAATAAAAAACCTAAATGATGGAATGAAACAGATAGAAGAATAGCTGGTTGGTGTCAAGTAACTATCTATACTATAAAATTCATTAGGAAGATCAGAAAAAGTCAAAAGCAAAATAAAGATAATGTTGAAACTAATAATGATAACATAAATAAGAGAGAATATGAGGCATCTACAGTTCTACCATATAAGGAGGGGAGACGACATCTGAAACTCCACGTAGGATTCTCAGTAAAGTAGGAATTAGGGTGGCATTTAAACCTGCAAACTCACTTGGGGGCAAGATCTGTAGGTTAAAGGACCCTATTGACCCAAATAGACAAAATAATGTAATCTACA